AAAAGAGGAGACTGAGGGGTGACCTATTTGCTTACAGTACAAAGTGCAACCAATAGCACGTAGAGAGACTGTGAATGTGTTGAATTAAATTTTTGACTTCCGAATAAAAAAGCTGAATGGATTGCTTAGCAAGGAACAGAGAATCAACACAAAATTAAATATAAACACATTTAATTTCTAGAGTTTAATATCAATGCAATGGGGAATAGTCTTGTGCATAAGGAAGAATTTCTAGAGCACAGAGGTGTGACTAAGGGAGTGGAAATGTGGTTAAGCAGCTCCAGAGGAGAGAAGGTTCTGCAAGCATTGCTGTAATTTCTCTTTTCTAGGAATTATTCAAGCCGCCAATTTCTTTTGCATTTATTTTACTACTGTTCTTTGAAGTTGCTATGGAGTATCTAAGTTCCCTGTGTAGTGTGATTTGTAGTTTGTAGTATGCGAGTGGGAAAAGCCAGAAAAACAAACCAAACTAAAAGGGTTGGGTTTTGAACCTTATTACTTCATTCTGGAATGCTTTGGTAGGCTTTTTTTTTTCATTTGTTTGACTTTATTTTAGGAATTGTGAATAAATACCATTGACAAAGTTATTTAGAATATGGGAAAACAGCTTATACATGAGGACTGAATTGTAAGGTCTCTTTCCCAAGGCAAAAGTTTGGTATACTAATGTGCATTTAGTACTACGTTTTAGATGTGCTTCTGAGGAAACAGCTACTTTTGATTGCTAATATCCTTAGATAAAGCTCTTATAATCCTAATAATCCGATAAGAAGAAAATCAGATGAATGGGGGGGATACAAGGATCAGGCAGTGACTTTAATCCAAAAGGAAAAAAAAATGTCCTGTGATATGATAAAAATTTATCAGCATTTTAAACATTTATTATAATGATATGTAGGGCAGTCTACAAACTGTTACCTTTTTACACGTTATTTATTTTCATTCTGAAAGAAAACAATATGCTATATAAGCTCTGTCTTGTACAGAGCTTTGAAATGATGTCTCCACTACTTTGCCCTGCTGCTGAGTTCAGATGTGTTTTACTAATCGATAAATAGTCTAAGGAAATAACAATAATGCAAACATAATGTTTAGAAGCGTTGCTACTCCAATCTTTATAAAGAAAGGAATGCCCTTTTAAAACAAAAAAATTGTTTTGTTGAAATTAATTGCTCGGCTAGGTCAACAAGTTTCCTAAGCTGAAAAGAAAAGACCTCCAATGCTTAGTACCCTTCTGTGTTAGTTGAAAAGAAGACTTGGCACTCGGCTCTAACAGTACTCCCCACAGTACCACACCCTGCCTACGCTAGCAGCAGTAGAAGTAATGGCTTTAAAAAGAGTGACCTTTTAACTTTGTGACTCTGCCATACGCAAAGATAAAGGCAGTAACTCTTATCTGAAGAAACCCGATCCTTGCACTCACCCCTTTTATTTTATGAGTTAGCACTTTCTTTTGGGATCACATTGGAGCTGTCCACGTTGAGCTCTTGCGACTTGCCTCTACTGTCTCACACACTTGCTGTGCTACAGGTATGTGTGGGCTTTGTTTTGATTTGCTTTTTTATAATAAATGTTCATGGCTTTTCCTCCTGATCAATGTAAACCAAGTGCATGCCGAGGTCTGACTCAGTATGTTTGGGGGGCTTTCATTTTATCTGTGCTTTTTAAAAGCATGTATGCTCATTTAAATGCCATCAAGGGTGCTACTTTCTTCCCTCATTTTTTTGAGGTGATTGTTCAGAAACCTTTTAGTTTCCTTCCTTAGGTGAGGAAGACCCCTCAGGAGGAGGGCTCAGGAGAGTCTGTTGAAAGTAAAAGAGCCACACCACAATAAGTTTATACTTTTCTGGTTGCAGGTTCAAGTTTCTGAAAACTGAAGTTATTGCTTGCTCTTCAAATGCTCAAATGCTTATAGGTGATGATGGTGGAAAACCAAGACTGTGGGTTTACAGATCTTCCTAAAAGAATAGATTTGTTGGATGTAAGGGAGGGAGATTAAGTTTTAAGGGATGTTTCAGTAGCATCTCAGAAATGGAAAAAGCTACTATTTGCGTATAGTGCATACTACAGCAGATGTAGAAACACCAAAACATTTTGATTACACTACAGAGCTTACCAGTCTATATGGCTTATAAACCATACAAACCAACACAACCCTTCACAGGCTTGTGTCTGGAGCTCTTTTCCTCTGCTGCTATGCCTGCTTCTTTAAATACACCATATTTAATATTTTGCTTTACATTTTATCAGATAATGTGAAATATTTGCAATTAAAGCCTTTAGGGATATACTGGCTCATAAGGGTATTGTGTCTGTGTTTCTGGAGTTCTGAAATGCAAGTTTCTTTAATATTCAATTGCTGGTTTTGTTATAGTTTCTGATTTAATCTAATCAAAAGGAAATAGTTTTTGAATGGAAAATTAGTTATCAACTCTTTCCTTTTATATATATAAACTGTATTTTGTCTTATATTCTCATCTATTAATTCATTTTTTCCTGGTAGACTTGTTTTAAATTAGAAGTCCTACATGTGAGACTATGATATGTGGGAAAAAAAACCACCTATGGGTGGGTGTGGCTTATTTAAAAAAAGTAGAGGATTAGTGTACACATGTGCCTAGAGTTAACACAGCTTTCAAACAAGATATAGCTTGTCTTGAATTGATCTGTGAAAACGAAGTCCCACAGGATCTGCAACCCTAGCCCTGCTAATACTGCTTGGGATATTATGAACTTTTAAGTCTGCAATTCCAGAATATCTTGGTCCCTGGAAATCTGTGCAGATCTCCTGGCTGTAGGGTTGTTTGCTTATTTGTTTTCCTAAAGCTGTCCCTTTAGTGTCACAGCTGTGTAAGTTACACTAGTTCAGGGGCTGTTCAGTAACCTGCTTTTCTCCATTTCTCTCTGTGGGCATATTTGGCATAGTCAAGGTTGAACATGTTTGTTTCTGTACAAGCAAAGTTTTATTCAATAGTGTGCACAATTTATCTGTAGAGAGATTAGGTAAAGGTATATCTAAATTCTCTCCACATTCTTTATTAATTTGGAGATACTCTGTGCATATTCAAATAAGTTAGATCATTTTGCAGCAAAATGAAGTCAGTTCACCCATTGGTTAACCTAAGGTCAGTGGCATAAAATCATTAACTTGAGAACAATGAGCTACATAAATCTGTGTTAGATTTTGCTGGCATTTTTTGACCTTTGAAATACTTGTTTATTTTATTTTAAGCAATAGTTTTTTAAAAATTAACCATACCCTACTGTTACTTTCTTCATAAAACATTTGGCTCACCTTCAGGGATTTTTTCTTATGTTCAGTTTTCTTTTTTTCCTGTCTTGGAGTTTGAATGCATTCCTTATTTAATATTAGATAAATATGATTTTATACTCTGGCTTTAGCTGGTTTATTTTTCTTGGCACCTTCCTTAAGTATTCTCCTTCAAAAGTCTGCAACATCTGATACTAAAGCTGGTTTAGAAAAAGGATTTCTTGACACTGAAAAGGTCAGCTATGGAATATTTTAAGTCTCTGGAGGAAAATACCACATTTAATCTAAGTGTAATTGTAGCTGTGGGTTTTTTCCTGTCAAAATGCTGAGTCATGTATTAAGCCTTTACAGTCTATACTAAAGAAAGTTATGAATTCTGGACAAGGACATATGCATGATGAAGAGTGAAAGAACTGGCTTCATCACTATTTAAATAGTGATTGTTGCCTGGCTTGTTGGTCATAACTTTTTTTTTACTGTATTACTTACTGTAGGGCACAGAAGTCCTAGTTATGTACCAAGGCCCTGCTGAAGTGTTCATAACATAAGTAACTCTAACAAGATTATTGTTTGTAAAAAACAACCCGGTGGGCTTATTGACTAATGTTGCATTTGAGATTTACAAGTAATCAGTATGTTCACAATGTTACTGTAATGACTCAAAAATTCGATAATCTATGATACTGCTGTATTTTGATATTTTTCAGTATGGTATGCTGGGATATTCACCACTGAATATTTTTTGTTCTTTAATATCACAGATGGCTAATGAATCAAGGCCCTGCCCATGTGATATTGGAGACAGGTTTGACTATGGAGGCCGTGGGCAGGAAGTACAAGTTGGGCACATCAAGGCATATGTTTGCAAACCATCTGCTAACACAGACAAAGCTGTGATTGTGATTCATGATATATTTGGATGGCAACTCCCAAACACCAGATACATAGCTGATATGCTAACCACTAATGGATACATGTAAGAAATAGTACTGTTTTCAAAGTGTCTTTTTAATAAGAAAGTTTGTTGAACCAACTACTTCCTTTTTTATGTATAAACCGTACAAACACAAATAATTTCATAGCCTTCCCTTCATGTTTCTCTAAAGAGTTTCCTGTTTGTTAAAACAGTGTAAGAAGGCTAAAATAGTTGAGTAGTCCTACCATAGTGAGATAGTAGGCAAGCACAGAAGAAGAGAAGGGAAACAGAGAAAAATCTTATTCTTCATCTTTCATTCTCCGTGAGCCTGAAGCAGCCTGCTTCCTGCCTCCTGATGAAGCATCTGTGCAACTTTGCTGTTATGGTAAAAATTCCAGTGAAGCTAAAAGTCATTCCATGAAGGGAAAGTGTACCAGATTGTGTCAAAGAAAGAAACAAGTTCTCAAATATATGACAAGCATATTTGGCATCCTCTTTCTTGTATTACTGGGCTAGCATTCCTTCTCGCCCAAATGTATGTATCATGTAAACTGTTTTTTTTGTTTTGTTTGGTTTTTTTAGGGTTTTTTTTGTTTGTTTTAATTCAGGAGGAAACCACTAAGGATTTTCAATGTCAGTGAACAGTTTGTCAAATTAACTAATGTATTTTAACAGGACAAATTATATCTGGAAGTTATGCTAAGTCTCCTTACTAGACATAGAAAAATAATGAGGGTTGCTTGTATAGTACTTTGATGTGGATTAAATTCTATGTGTATTGAACAAAATGAATTTGTTGTATAGTACCCATGGATTTACCTGTAATCCTGTCTTCGTATTATTTCATGGGCATAAAATGTTTTCATTTTTCTTGCAGAGCCATCTGCCCAGATTTTTTTGTGGGACAAGAAGCTTGGAAACCTTCTAATGACTGGGCGTCTTTCAGTGATTGGCTGAAAACTCGAGATGCCAGCAAAATAGACAAGTACAACCGTTGTTCTTTGTCCAGTGAGCGGGCATCCTCCTTTAGTACGAGCTTCTGCCTCAGAAAGGATGCAGGATTGCATCCTAAATTATTAATGGGTCAAATACAGCTGGACATCCACAAGCAGAAATTTAATGCAGTTCATGGGTAAAGCTCATGGTTATGTGAAGGGTGCTTCTTGGAGAAAAGTAGAACTTAGAGCAAGAACAAAAGTGACCACTGTTCACCTCTGCAGAGAGTAAAACTGAGATTAATGACTCAAAAGAAAAGAACCAGCAAAGCCTAGAAGATACAGTTTGCTCCTTCCACTTCAATTTGATTCAATTCCCGCTGGCTGGTGCAACTTCCACAGGTTTCAACTGGGGTGCATATGTAGTCACCAGACATTATTTGAGCAGGGAAAATTAGTCCTGCTCCCTGTCAGATCCCAGTTAGTTCAAAGCATACTACTTTGCCATTCTTCTAGCAATATTTTTCCCATTTTTTACATGACAGGTAAATATTACTGCTGATTTTGAAGCAATAATTTCAAATTTGCTTCCACAATTTCGTAAAACATTTGTCTCTCCCATGAGAGACAGTTTGCCTATAGTCATATCTGTGATAATGGGATGCTCTTGACTGGCTGTGTGTCTCTTAAACTTTTATTTATGTTAGCCTATAAGATAACTATTGCCACTTGTGAAATTAATTGGATTGCTGTTTATAAAATCACCTTAGGTTCTAGTAGCAGTGATCTAGGAAGAGTGACTTTACACATTTTCTCCTTTGTCTTCTCTCCTGAAGTTTCTCTTACATTTTAGAAATGAATAATAGTAAACTAGTGTTGTGGGTTGACCCCAGCCAGGAGCCAGGCACCCCCCCCCCCAAGAGGGGCAGGGGAGAGGATAGGAGGAACAAAAGTAAAAAACACATGGGTTGAGATCAAGACAGTTTAATAAGTTAAAAAAAGAGAAAAAATAGGAATGATGAAAAGGTAGTCACTCATCACCTCCCAGAAGCAGACTGATGCCCAGGCGATCTCTGAGCAGCAGCCACCTTGGAGTCCAAGGGAACAGAGCTAGAGCTTTAATTTACTTTTATTTATTTGTCTCAGAGAAGTTGATGTTGTCCTGAAGTATCTAATAGAACAATGTGGTGCAAAGAAGATTGGTGTCATCGGATTTTGCTGGGGTGGAGCAGCAGTACATCATCTGATGCTGAAAAATCCTCATTTAAAGACAGGGGTGTCCCTCTATGGTGAGTCTCAAATGCCTATTATGTTGTGAGCAGACACGACCAAAGCAGGAACTTACTCTGTAGGGATATTCCTGTAACAAGATTCAGTGTGACATCTTGTGGAAGAAGGTGAGTTTATTACACAAACTCTTTAAGCGAGTTGATTTTGTGCACTCACATTCTTGCACTGAGATAATCACAGCCAGCAAGATCTATGTATTCAAGTGGCACAGCCAGGATTGCTTCTGTGCAACACAGCATACAAAGGACACCAAATGCCAAAATATCACTATGGCTCAGGTTTCTCTTGGCTGACAATGACTAAATAAATGGTTTCTGGACAGACCATGTATATCTTTTAGGAGCCAGTAGTCACTATGAGGTGGATCTCTGTCTCGGTATCTTGCTTACCTCAGCTTGAGTAAGTCTTCAGACAGGTTGCTTCCCTCTGTCTGGTTTTCACTATTTGGAAAACCTGTTTGAAATACACATCTGTACTCTATTCCCCTGTTGGGCCAGCAAGAAGAGACATGGCAGCAGTTATAACACTGCAACCTTTTTGCTGTCCTTCTGTTAGAGTGAAGGGTCTTATGCTGACGAGTAATCTGGGCTGGAGTCTGCACAGGCTGCAGACCTTCAGGTCATGATGCGAACAACTTTTCCTCAATGTTACTGCTGGCAGTGGTCCCTCTCTACTAATATGAACCATTTTTTAAATCTCTGTTCTAACCTTTGCACTCTTACTCTTCCATTCTCAGTGCATTTATGCAACCTTTAATATGTTTGTTTTAAACTTCTGTATAACTCAGAGCAATCTATATTAATTTGAGGTGAAAGGAAGTTGAAGGTATTCTCCCAGAAATTTTATGGAGACTATTTTGCTGCACTGTTTTGCTGATCAGTTGAGTCAATTAATCAACACTACTTGCTAATTTTTTACTTTTCTGTTGTAATAATTTCACTAATGAAAAGAGCGGCCAGGGTGTTAGTTAGTTTTACTGCAACTTAAATTCAAATATATATTGAATAATCAAAATGACAGTATCAATTAGTTATGAACTTGTATTAGTGTAAATATAGGTGCCTGAAATCCTAGCCATGTATCTGGAAGGATGAATATTTAAAATTACCTTAAAAATGGCCATAACAGGCTAGAGGTGAGCAGCTCTGAAGAGTCCATCTTTCACAGGACCCTGCCTCTGACAGTGATCAGAAGCAGATGCCTATAGAGAAGTGAGAATGGGGCAAACATACAATGATTTTTCCCTAACCTTTTCAGACAGAGCTGGTCTTTCTGTCTTTAATGACATCCCAAATCACGTGAAGTTCTCACAACAAAAGGGACTTTTAATCAAAGCCTAATTCCGTTACAAGCTGATCAGCAATATTTAATCAATGTCTTTTGACTGTGTAGCTTTGGTAGTGATTTAACCACTTTAAGTGGTCAAGTGACCCATTTTATATTCCTCTCACTTCCCTAGGAGTGATCCGCTTCTTTGAAGACAGATACAGTTTGCTTCACCCCACCTTTTTCATTTTTGCTGAAAAGGATGATGTCATCCCATTGGAGCAGGTGAGCTTCCTCTCAGAGATATTTGTCTTTTTATGCTTTTCATGTTTGTTTTTCAATTTCTTAATTAAGAGAAATTAGAAAATTAATTTGCACTTTTCTTCCTCTCTCAATAACTCTCACAGTAGTTCTACACAAATTTGTCTTGTTTATCCCCAAACCAAAATGTTTTCTGTTTCTGTTGCAAAATATGGATGTTTTATATACAGAAGTTCCTAGGAGGAAAGGGGCAAGAATCCATAATGGCAGTCAAAGAAAGACTTCTGTCAAGTTTAAGTTAGGACACCCTCTTTAATCTTACTGATAGTGCATAAAATCAGCAGAAAGTCCCCACCTGCACCAGTGGAATCACTAGTTGCAGGAGAACTTAAAAATTCTATTACTATCCTTTTCCTTCTCCCGCTGTCCTGCAGAGCTTCTCCTTTCTGGTACTCTTGTCAGCAGCCTTCCTGGGGAGCCTGAATGGAGGATGACTGGAGAAAGATTATTATCTACCAAGGGTCACAAAGAGGAAGGCATGCTTTCACTGAGTGCTGTTGACTTTAATTTTCCTGACAAAAATGCCAGTATCTTTGGATGGCCAATTTTGTAGCTGTGTCTCTCAATTTCAAATTAATTCAAAATCTTGCCCCCCCCCCTTTATTTTGTGAGGTCTATCAGCAGTAACTTGTATAGTGATGGCTATGTGCTAACCTACTTGTGAAACTGAGCAATAAGTGATTTTACCATTACAGTATTGTTACAGTAACCCATATACTTGTTTGCAGTTTTATACAGTCACATGCTGTTATTTTACTGGAGAAAAAAACCTAGTTAAATAAAGAAAGTCTAGTCACAGAAATGCATTTGGATATAAAATTTGTAGAAGAGAAAATGATGGCAAGGACACACCATGTCTGTCTCTCCAAAAAGTAAAAAAGCAGGACAATTTGTGGACTGTAAATATGTAACATGTTAACTTCGTATTCAGCCAACAGGGAACATTCTGTGTTACAGGTTACCTTACTGGAGCAGAAGCTTAAACAACACTGTAAAGTTGATTATAAAGTTAAAGTTTACCCTGGACAGACACATGGGTTTGTACATCGCAAAAGAGAAGATATCGATCCTCAAGATAAACCTTTTATTGAGGAAGGAAGAGATGATATGATTAACTGGCTGAATAAATACATTTAGCATAAATAAATACCCCCCAAAATAAATCAATTGTTGGAGGTAATCAGAAAATAATAAAGACTATTTAAGAACATTTTAATCAATAACCACAAAAATATTTAGTAAAACTCTTTCACAGTAACACTACTTATTTTGCACTTATTTTCTAAGTAGATTCTTAGAAATGGCTTTTCAAATTCTGTAAGCAATAAATGTAAAAGAGATTTTAAAATTTGATCTTGTGTACCTTAAATTTATTATAATATCATGTGGGATATTTTCTAGACTCTGAAAGTTTCACTTTTTATATTATTGTTAATATAATAAAAAAAATAATTGAAACTCTGTCCATGCTTGAGACGTGGCTCTCATAAGAGCCATACTTAGAGTTGTTGAGGTCTGAGATTTTCAGCTTTGAGGTGAATATAGTTCTGGGTTGGAAGTCTGGGACATTTTCTTGGAAAAAGAATATCCTATTCAGAATTCATAAAAACAGAGCTTGAGATAATACTGGAAAGAGGGAAGGGGAGCAGGACAATGAGAAGAAATGTATGCAGACTGAAAATGCAGGACCAGAGAAGGAGGACCTGAACAAGTGGGAATACAGTAGGACACAAAGACTGTGAAGAGCAGGAAAACTCAGAAGAGAAAGAAGTACAAAGTAAGAATAGGAGACAACCATCAGACATACAGACAGCATAGGAAGAAAATACAAGTGAGGACTTCTAATCCCTCTTCTTCCATTTGCAGACTGGTCTAGTAGGGGGAGAGCTCAGGAGGCCAGGAATTTCTTCTTGGCTGCCACCTTATTATTTCCTTTAGCATCTTATTATCTGCTCCATGTCTATCAACTGACTTCTGGATAATCTGTTTTCATATCTTTCAGGCACTACTAGCCTAGAAGCACTACCCATGCCTTCCTTTCTTCCATGGAAAGGCTTGGCTCTGTTTGTCCTCCTCCATCCCCCAGTGATGTCGCGTGTCTGCCCACGCAGTCAGAGACATCATGGCTCAGAGAGGTGCTTGAACTTCCCAAGGTGGATTTCAAACCTGCCCATATCTAGTTATTCTGTTTTAATTTTTCTTACCCCTCTGTACACCTGTACTCATGTTTTTGCTATAAAATTCATTTCATTCAGAATAAAATTAACTTTTGTGAAGATTGAACCAAACAGCTCTGGACAGACTTTCTGGTATTAGTTCTCCTTCCTGCTAATAGCCAGCACTTTCCTTTTGCCCTTCTCTCATTTTTGGTGCACTTACAAATACTTCTATTAGTCGTTCTGTGTCACTTCATAGCAGTGAGCTATGCTGCTGCCTTAGCTTGTCTGTGGGGTGTTTTGTTCCTTTACTCTTGTTCTCAGGCACGTGCCTGTGTTTCCCCCCTTTGTAAGCCTCCTTTTTGACTCTGAAACATTTGCAGGCATCTGGATGTAGCTGCAATGGCCTCTTGCTATGCTGTCTGCCCTTCCTCCACGTCAGGATTATCTGATGTTTAATAACATCTCTTTCACTAAGCACTGGTGTCCTCCACTCCTTTCTCTTTCACAGAGTCTTCATCAGAAACCCCAGCACCAGCTGAGTTTCTGGTGCTGCTCCTTCCTTTTTTTGTCAGGAAAGTGTATTGCATCATTTCACAATCAGCTCAATGGAAATCTTCTGTCATCTCTCATGGTCTCAGGCTGTTGCCTTACCCCTCGGCCTTCATTCAGAGTTGAACCTAAACCAGGCTGCATGACAACATTGCCTTCTCACCTCCACAAATCCTTCCAGTATCATCAGGTTTCTCTATACTGTGATTTAATTAGGTGTATTTAATTACAATTGCTAGTGCACAGCCCATCCCTAGTGCCTAGAGGAACATCACTGTATTTCTGTTCCTTTGGTCCCTCTCAGTGTAACTTAGAGCAATCGTGCTGTGGGGTCTTGCCTGCATCCATGATGCTGATGGAATAGATGTGGCTAAAACATTGCACTGAACCCAGCCCAATTTCCCCTCAGTGAAACCCATGTGAGCCCAGGGAGCCCCTTTGACTTTCGCACAATATTGCCCTTCAAGGTACAGCCCCTGGGTTGTTTCTGTTGCCCCACAGTATTTTTCTTCTTGCAGTCACCTCTGCCAGCCATGTCTGGCAGCTCCCTCATGCAGTCATCTTCCGTCCTGCTCCCTGTGACCTGGGGGCACATGCCAGGCCAGCCCTAAGTAGTCTGTGATGGAGCTGCAGCCGCTCGTGTGTCTTTGAGCTCCATAGTGCCTCTGCTTCAGAGTCTACCACCATGTGGGTCCCACCTGAGGTCCCACATCCCCAGGTGTTTCTTCAGCCATCCCTCTTATCTCGAACCTCTTCTTCACATCACCCCTTCCTCTTCCTCCTGCAATGTACCATGTATCTCCCATGATAAAATAATTCTCCCTGCACCACGCTTGGAGGACTTGCGGCTATGAGCCACGCTGGTAAAAAAAAACCCTCCACACTGGAGGTGAAAAGTTCCATGATGCCTTCCCTGATCCTGCGCTTTGGGCTGGATATGCGTGGCTTCCCGGTGACGTACAGACAGAGGGAAGGGCTGGACAGTGACTTCTGTTCTTCCTGCCAGTCCAGACACAATTCTGGACTCAGCAGACCAAGGAGAAACAGTTTCACATGGCAGAACTGCAGACACCTCCATTCACTCGTGCAGGCACGTCTGATGCTCGTGCCTGTGCAGCTCTGGGGTAATGGGAGGATTACAACACACAAACCTTCCTGGAAGAAAGCAACATGACTGTGTGGTTTACATAGTCTCTAAAGTGTGAATTCAGTTCCCAGCCATGGATTCATGCCCAGTTTGTCAGGGTTGCTATGAGAACAGACAGAGGTGATGAAATTGAACTCTCTACAACTATTGTCTCACACGGATTTTGAATAAAAGAGCCTTGGTTCCTCAGAAGGTAATATCTTGGCTTGCAAACCATTACAGCTTGGGGATTTTTTTATGTGAAGGAACAGATGTCTCAGGGAATTGGGCTAAGCTTTGGCTAAGCTTTGCCAAATTTATCCTGAGACAGGGAAAGACTGTGAAGGTGCAGAATATTTTGTCAAAATTCATTGTCCTTGGAGAATTCAGAGTGGCTTGCTGTCAGACAGGTATTGCATTTCATTATGTACTTGTTTTTGTAGAAGTGTCACATCTAAGATGGAAAACACAGAATTTAGCCAGTGTTAACATTTAGTTTACAAAAACCCACACATACACATTCTCAAAACTCCCATTTGAGAATATCCTTTGTGTTTAGAGAGCACTGACATATAGGCATATAGGTTAGACATTACAAACTCAGGTTTGTAATGTTCCATTCTACTGAAACCAGAAGCCTTGATTCAAGGTAAATTAGCTGTAGAAAAACCACCAAGGCAGACACAGTAGACATATGTAAGGCCTGATCAGAGTACCTCATGCAGATGCTTTTTTCCCCTGGGCATTGTGCTGTCTCGTCAGTTCCTTCCTTGTAGCTTTAGAGCCCTTTGATCAATTCCAAACAAATTTGACAAAACCATGAAGTCCTCAGTGCTATTTAGTTCTGCTACTTTTCTAGAAAATGTGGACTGCACAGAGGGGGCAGATTCACTGCACTGCGCAAAACAGTGTGGCATGGATTCATCCATTCTTTGTATTATTTAGGCTGCTGGCTGGCTGATCAGCACACAGAAAGCCTGAACCGCTTGCATAAGGGTTGTCAGAGGATACAAGAGGGAAGTGGACTAAGGAAATGTGGGGGGAAACAAAAATGTGGGGGAGCAGGAGGGACAGAGGGAATGTGCTGATGGTGGCCCATGAGATATGGGGAACTGAGACCCTGTTGGGGCAGTCACATGGTACATGGACAAAATGGAAGGGAGAACCTAGAAGAGCCCTAATTTAATCTTTTATAGACTGAAGTGGTCACTGAGAAAGTTATACTGAGGAATGCTCATGGCCTGCCTGCGAGGAATCCTGGATGCTTGAGTGAAGAAAGCTGTACGGACTAAAGTGAAAGAGGTCTCCCAAAGGAAAACCCCAGGGACTGGAGATAGGTAAGACAACAGAACATGGTGGAGATCAGAACCCTGAAGTATAAGAGCATATATCCTGTCCTCCACTGATAATCTCCTCCTCACAAGAAGGTTAAGGTCCTTTACATCAAAGAAAATACTAAAACACGGCCTGAATATGAACCACTGGATCCTTTGACTTCTTGGAAGCTGAATTCCAGGTCCTGATTTTTGCTCTCTGGCACAAGTATTTTGCAAGCATCTGAGTTCTTTAATTGGTTTAATATTACACAGGCTTAACTTTTAGTTCTTCATCTGCTCACTTTTTTTACACACTGAGTGTGAGCTCTTTGATGGGTTTTCAGTTTACAGCAACAATTTTTAATCAACTTGATGACTTTTGACTTTGCTTCATTTTCTGCATTCCTCTCTGTCAAGTTAGCATTTATTGTTGTTATTGTTGGTTTTTTGTTATTTTTTTTTTTTTACATGTGCATGCATACATAGCACTGCCAATATTTCATAAAATAGTGTGCACTCAGGTGGTAAAAAAAATATCTAATATCTTTTGGCCTGCAAGCAGGATGGCATCTATGCTTTATGGTAGCTTATAAAAGATTATGCACTTGCTTTAAAAGTATGTCCTTCTGCACAGTGCCAGCTGTATCAGTGTGAGGAGCAGTTCTCCTTCCTTGCACTGACATTGGTCAGCCACTACCTCTAGCTCGGAGGAACTCTGCTCCTCAGTCTCAGAGGGGATTTTTGTGTTTGCCTTCTTCAGAGGAGGCCATAGGGAGGGAGCTGTGCTAGATTAGTGAGGCTTCAGGGATAGAGGACTAACCAGAATTTGAACTTGATAGAACTTGGGGAATTGATGGAAGATGTGGTAGAGGTGACTACACCTCTAGATTCAGCTCCAACTGAACTCAGGGCCTTGTTGTAACTCATTTTGGCCACATCCACAGGCATACTAGGTTTGTTATTTAGGACTATACTTGCGTACATAGCACAGGTTTTAATCAAAGTGGACTTAATTCTTTTAGCTAATAACCTTTCAATGTGTTCACAGAGAGTGAGTGGTAGCTTAGCCTCTAGAAAGGTGTAGTGAGGAGACC